AAGCAAATAATAAGTAAAGTGCTCTGTTTTCAAATATCACATCAATATTTTTTTTTGTAAAATGAATCATTATGCTATTCTTGTTATCATGTTAAGTACTTATGTGCTTTTAGAAATCGTTAGTGCTGGAATTTAATATTTAAAAAATTCACAAGCCTTCTTTCCTTTGGTATTTTTCCGTTTTACATACCTGGGAAATCTCAATAAGTGTTACTCTTAAGCACCTGTTTCTGTATACGTTAGCGTGGACTGTAAGCAAATCACTTGCGATAATACTTAGCAGTAACACATTTACAGTTTGATCTCATGATTTAAAAATGAAGAAATAAATATATCTTTACATATATATTTACCATATATATTCATAATTAACCTTAAATGTAGCGGAATATATGCCCAAAGGTAGAGATTTATCTGAAATGAAATATGTGTAGAACTTCACGATCCCATCTAGCACTACTACGGATGCAGACAAAGTTAAGTAACTTCATTAATCAAATAACTTCGCTTTTTCACCACCCATTCGATGTAGTGATTAGGGGAGACTACTGCAGTACCGAAGGGCCCAAGTTAGAATCCCAAAGAAGGCATGGATGTTTGTAAATGTCTCTGCGGAATGGGGGGGGAGCACTGTAAATATATAGCGAGAAGAAAGTCCTCTCATGAGGTTGGACATAGAGGAAGAGGGCTGGTAAACCCTTGCACCCGTCACTCCTCCGGGGTGCTCTCCCCACAAAATTGGGGGTGCAACTGATCGAAGTCTTACTGTGCCTGATACTGCAAATACAAATCTGGACTCCCCAACTATTGTGCAACCGTCTGCTGCTGCCCAGGTCAGTAGTCATAAGCAAAAAATTAATAGTAATCAGGTTAAAAATAATTATACTGGCAATACTGAAAACAATGGAGTTAATGGAGATAACAACAGTATTTCTGATACATCTGAGATATTTAAAATTATGGCAGAGGTACAGAATATTTTTGGTTACGGCCTAGGCCGAGTGATAAAAATCTATAAAAGCAAACTTCCTGAGTTAAGGAAATGCAATAATTTACTAGACAAGATGCAAGTATTGCATCTTATATTCGAAGAAATACACGGGCTATCAAATTGATTAAGTTATGGTCTGTAACTTTCGAGTGATAACGTGGAACGCAAATGGCTTAACCTACAAAATTGATGAATTACGAATTTTTGTCAAGGAGTATAATCCTGATGTTTTACTCCAACAGGAAAACAAGCTTGGTCCTGCAGTTACCTTTGAAATCGCAAATTATGTGCTCTATCGGCTTGACCGCAGAAGAACTACCACTCGTCCAGGCGGGGGCCTGTTATTACTTGTCAAGCGCTCCATTTCCCACTACCACACAACACTGCCACAGCTTTTAGGCCTAGAGGCCCTAGCTATCACAATCACACCACTCATTGCACGCCCAGTCACTTTTATCTCCGCCTATGTGCCATCCAACAAACGCTCACATGTAAATATTATGCAGGATTTTGATGCAATAACCAAACTCAACACTAAAGTCATTCTAGGCGGAGATTTCAACGCATACCACCGCGAGTGGAACTGCAACAATAACTCATTCCTAGGAAATGTAATTCATCGTTTCGCCAAAAAGGCCGGAATTACAATTGCAGCTCCACAAACCCCAACACATTATGACGGAATATCTGCTACATTCATTGACTTTTTTCTGGTCAAGGGCTGTGCCGTTAAATCTGTTGACAGCCTAGACGAGCTGTCATCAGATCGCAATCCAGTTCTCATGGACCTTGATCTCTCTGTTCATAATGCACCACACAAAAAGGCCTTCATCACTAACCGGTCTGGATATACCAAAGCCTTAGACAACACATCAATACACATTTCAACAGCACATACAGGCAATGAGTTAGATGCTATTGTCAGTAATTTCACTCTTGAGCTGCAAACAGCTCTAAAAAACAACAGCAAACTTACAACAGCAAGAAGGAATGAAAAACCTAATAGTGAAATAAAACGACTGATTAAAGACAGGAATGCAGCAAGGAGAGCATGGCAGCGGTCAAGATACCCCCCCCCCCGATAGAGCACTCCTCAGTCAACTTAATCGCCAAGTCAGGGCTCTTACACGTAAACAAGCAGACCACGACTGGGCCATCTATCTGACCTCACTTTCATCAGATGAGGATAGTATCTGGAAAGACACAAATAAACTTACGAGATGCTACACTAACATTCCGCCCCTAACTAGCCCTCAAGGAATTGCCTACACCGACACTGAGAAAGCTGAGTCACTTGCTGATCATTACGCTACTCAGTTATGCACTAACAACATATCTCACCCACACACAGAAAACCTTGTCTCACAGACACTTACAAATTTCCTTACAAGACCACATACAGACAATATCCCCCCTATCAGGCCTTCAGAGGTCTATGACTACATCTGTCAACTGAAAACCAAGAAAAGTCCTGGCTTAGATACCATCAGCAACAAGATGCTTAAGTGTATGGGTGTACTGATGATACTCAAGTTCACCAGAATCATCAACGACACCTCAGCCATTTCCCGACACCTTGGAAAACAGCGGTGATTTCTCCCATTCTAAAACCCAACAAACCAGCCTCGGAGCCAGCATCTTATCGACCCATTAGTCTACTGTCATCAACTAACAAAGTGGCAGAACATTTCATACAGCAACGGTTGATGCATCATCTACAAGTCAACAATCTCCTAATTGCTGACCAGCATGGGTTCCGGAAAAAGCATTCTACCAATCACCAGCTGTACCGGGTTACGAAAATGATATCCCAGGGCCTTCAAGAAAAATCAATCACAGGAACCATACTCCTTGACGTTGCTAAGGCCTTTGATAGAGTCTGGCTGGAGGGCCTCAGGCACAAAATCATAAACCTGGGTTTCCCAGACTACATCACACGCATCACCTATTCTTATCTCATGGATCGACACTTTGTCGTTCGTGTTAACAACAAAACTTCCTCCCCCAGGCCCATTAGGGCAGGGGTGCCACAAGGGTCAATTTTAGGCCCGCTTTACTTCAATATTTACATGAACGACATACCACATACCCAAGACACTACACTAGCAATGGACGCTGACGACACGGCAATTCTATCAAAAAATGCATCTCATGGCTCAGTCATTCAAGCACTACAAAACCACATACATGCACTAGAGTCCTGGCTACTGGCATGGAAAATTAAAATAAACGTGGAGAAATCTGATGCCATTCTTTTCACAAGGAAAAAAAGTATCGACTACAACATTCAGGTCACCATATAAATGGAACTCCCATCCCCTGGACCAAGCAGGCCCTTTACCTAGGCGTTGCTCTAGATCAATGTCTCACCTGGACCCCACACATTACACAGCTCATTAATAAGTTCCGAGCGCGTAAACGTACACTTTCCCCCTTAATTGCTCGGAACAACGTTCTCTCTACTGACAACAAATTACTCATTTACAAAGTCATGTTACGTTCTATCATCACTTATGCCTGTCTTGTCTGGGGATATGCCTCTGATACAAATGTCAAAAAACTGCAAACGCTACAGAATATTGCATTAGGACAAGCGGCGGGTTGCCCATGGTTCATAAGAAACTCGGCAATCCACCGCGAATTCAATATTCCATATATACATGAGTATATGGCCCTCTGGCCCGCAAATTTTATAAAAGCATACCAAGGGTTTCCAACCCCACAATACCCATGCTTAACTATAATTTCAAAGTCAGGGAAAATAGAAAAAGGCCTTTAGCTATTCTAAGGCATCATCTATAGCTATTCTAAGGCAAATAATCAATTGTGATATATATATATATAAAATACCATATGCAATTATATTATGTCTCTGTATGAATTACAATATCTGCACCATATGTACTTTTATTGCTGTATATTTGTTATACCTTACTTTTCAATTGTATTTTTATGTGCATGTAACTTTACTTATTGCTGTCATATTGTCGTCGTAATATATTTTAAAATTATATCTTTGAGTGTCATACTTATGGACTCCTGAACTCTCCGGCAATACTGGTGTTTACTTTTTTGTACGGAATACTTCGCACTGCCTGATATCTTCGTCTTACGTCGTTCAGCCACGGTCGTAGTTGCTTGTTTGTTTCTCGGTCACACTTTATTTTGTACCATCACCTTTTTCGTTCAGCATTGTTTGAATTATGTAATAATATAGATGATATGCCAAAATCACTTTAGAAAACATGCTTTCGAAAATTGGCCACAGTTCGACAAGGGTAGCGCTTCGCGCGCGGGAACCTTTCTACAAATGTATATTTGCCTGAACCGAAGTCTTACTGTAGCCTGTATGGTGCTCAAGGCTCTTGTCAACGACATGCGGAATCTTGCTGTTCTGGCCATGATGAATTTCGTGGGCTTGTGAGGGTGTTACTGTCAGATAAGGGAAATCACAACACAACACACTTCGCTTTTTCAACCAAAATATGTTAAAGTAAGGCCCTTATGTTAAAAAATTGTGTTCGCATGTGTGAAAGTTGCGAAGAATTTGGCGCAATACTGAATTTAATTTTATATTTGTTTACATCTGAAAATATACTCGGATTAAAAACATTCGCGAATCTTTGGATTTCTAATGTAATAAGCTCATTAAACATTTCATATTAAATTTAATTTCGCTTCATAGGATAATAATAAAATTTCATTCATTTTGCTTTAAGGGAAGGAAGAAAATACATTACTTTCATTACATTCTATTACTTAAATTTTACTTTTGAAAATGTTAAAAAAGGCGCAAACGAATTACTTTTAAATGATTTGCTTTTGTCTCTTTGGAAGAAGAAAATATTTTCTTCACTACAACAGAACAAATTAGAAATTAGCGCCTAAACGTTTTCTCGGGCCTTTATTTAACAATCCCTGGAAGTTTCATTAGCAATACTGTGTTAAAATATATATCATGAAAACAACTGCATATTGAAAATAAGTATTAAATTCAAGACAAACTTACTTATTACACTAACGCCAAATAAATAAGTATGGCCAAGAATAACCCAAGTCATGCTCAGAAACCTTATCCCATGAATACAAAGCAGTTGTCCTTCAGTTCCATCGGTATTTAACAATTTAGATCCATTGGTAAATATACAAAAGCATTTAAGAAATGGCTTACATTTTTCAAGGATTCCTGGGAAAAAAGATGAATATGTTTAAGCATTCTCTATACATTGCTAATATTTTTCATTTTTAATTCTTCGTTAATTAAACAATAAACAAATGTTATAAAATGTTTAAAAAAACAAATTAAATGCAAAAAATAAATAAAGTACAATAAAAATCAATGTAAATTTATTAGCAATGAATAAATCCAAAAATAAATGATGAATTATATTTCTTTGAAAAATTTGCTTTGTTGCACATTAAAAGCACGTCGATTATTTTAATTAAATATTCTTAATTGGGCCTTCTTTGAAGCTTCATTTGAAATTTTTTAAGAATTTCCAGTCATATTGATATATTTCAGAAACGTAGCTCTGTTGAAAATTCTTCTGCTACTCCCAGTGTCGGAATTACGTACAAGCTTCACAAGCTATAGCTTAGGACCCCCATATTCTGAGGGCTACTTTAAAAAATTGTACTATATCCCGTATTAAGAAAAAAAATATCTCATATCCCCCATAAAGGGCCCCATATCTCAAATAGCTTAGGATCTCGTCAAGTCCTAGCTGCTCCTTGAAAAAGGAACAAGGAATGTTTAATAACTTTATACATTTGATACCCATTTGATTACGTTTTATTGATTTTATTGAATTGTTTATATTCCAGTTTTGAATTATTTTTATTTTCATTTTTACTTTTGTTTTTGATTTGAATATTTCCCGTTGGACACTTGCCTCCTTTCATTACCTAATTTTTACTTCATTATCATTTTTCGATATTCAATTAATTTCGCACTCTTCGCACACCCGGCTTTAATAATATATATCATCTTAATCTAAAATTTCTCAGCTTTTATATATATTCATTTTAGCGAGCTAGGAGCTTGAAGACGCTTCTTTCAATAGTGGCTCTAGGCGAGGAAAAGCAAACTGAGAACTTTTTGTAATTTATAATGACACATAGTAAAATCAATAGCTGTGAATAACTCAAGGAGAATTCGGACAAATCCTCCTTAGCACACGAGAGATATCGTAAATCACTGCTGATATCACACCCACGGCAGACTAAATCGATATCATTCACAGAGCAGACTCTAAAATGTAGTTTAGCTAACGCTTGAGCTGTAGTTCTTGAAACAAGGATTTTATAATGAGATTCTTGTTATAAATTCTTTGCTTAAAGTACTCAGAACTGAGTAAGAACTTACTCATCCCGACTCTGTGAACAGTATTTATATTGTGTTGCACAGGTTTCTGGAAGCTACGGTAAAAATAACTAAAAGTCTTTGAAAATGCGTTTTCTCAAAACTTCCTGAAAATCGTCATGATGGCCAGAAATTTATGTGGTTAATATCGTTCAGGCTTGTCAGGAGCTTTCTTGCTTAGGTCTAGCGTTCTAGATGAGTTATTTTAACAGTATCAATGTTGGTGGGATCAGAATTTAAAGACCTACAATTCTATACTAGAAATGAGCACTTATGTACTTCATCTGGCTACAAGTTCAATTACACTAAAATAAACCCCAAAAGTATCACGCCAAAAGCAAAAAAATAAACAAACAACTAAATAAATCAATACACAATATTACAACAATACACAAAAGCAGGAATGAGATCAAATGAATTTTAATACTTATTGCATTCAATACACACACACACATATATATAAATTTATTTATAGTAAAAATATTGTAATATATAGCTCCTTTTCCATTACATTTTTCTAAAATATATGCACATTATTTCATAAATCTCTTTGATTAGATATATTACATCATTGTTTCACATGCATATTAGCTGAAGCTTTAAATAAATAAAGATAATTCCTGTTCTCTAAACTAAATTCAACAGTAAACAATACAAATTTCGCATAATAAGTATATATATCTTTTAAATAAGCTCCATCTACTGTTTGAAAAAGAAAACTGCTCTAAAACATCTGAAACAGAAAATGATTAATTTATTTATTACCTTCTTTTGGCTTAGAAAATAGAAGTTCTTCGTCATTATCGTCTTCCACAGCATTTACACTAACTCCGTTACTTTCAGTAACTTTTTCCCCATCACCCGCTTCAGATACTACATTTTTTGATGGCAACTGATTAGTATAAAAATATTCATATGCAGTTACAGAGCTTCCCAATAGCGTTAGAAAGCCAAAAAGAGACATGAGACATCTAAAAAAAAATGAGTAAAAATAAATGAATACAATAATACTATGTAAAAAAAGCTGATTTACATAAATTGTCAAAAAATAGCTTATCATATAAACCCCAATATTTGTACTTAGATAGGTAATTTTAGTAGAATTATAAGTAAAATTGTTGTATTTTTCTGTGTAATGTAGCGCGAGATACAATTTAAAAGAAAGCTATGCCAGAAAAGTAAAAATACAAAGGCAAGTGCATTTAACATTGAGTAAATGGGTAGGCTGGTAATTTGGCGAGATATCGCCGAGCTATCAATGGTTTTGGCGACTAATTTTAACGCCAAATTTGGCGAGAATTTAGCAATATTTTGGTTCGGTCCCTGTATCCCTAGAATAAGTATTGTAACTGAATAAATCTAATTGACCGCTATATTAGCTGTAACCATAATTCGACCCTCGTAATGCTTTCCAGTAATTTCGAGAAGCAGAAAGTACCAGAAATATCTCGGCGGCCCGTTGAAAACTATTTAAGGCGGAAGAGAGAGCCTCTGCTCTCAGTTGCTTAGTTGTTGTTGTTGCGAGGTGTAGTTCCGCGTCAACTGAAATAAATCCCAGTTAGTTTTCTTATTATATGCGCTTTGCATTACGTTGTGTTTAACGTTCTTAGTAGTTTTAAGTGTAACTGCTGATTATGCTGTGCCATACTGTGAACACTTGTATGAATATTTCTGTGAAAATTCTAGTGTTCTGACATATTTCTTTTGATAAAATAAATTTTATTAACCTATTATCGGACTTGTGCATGCAATGAATTACGAACAGTATTTATATAGTGAAGTGTACGCAACAGTATTTATATAGTGAAGAATCAGTTCAAATGTGAACTAAATAAAATGCAATTGAAGAAAGAAAATATAGAAAGCAATTTTTTTTAAATTCAAAATGAAGATATAGTATGAAGTACAATATAACGTTATAATGTTGAAAGCATATGAAATTTATAACGTTGAAATAACATTTTTAACAGATAAAACAATTAAGACTATGTTTTGAAAAATAAAGAAACCTAGATTCTTCCTATTTACCCCCTAAAAAGATATTCCGTTGTCCGTTCTTTTTATTCCTTTTTTATTACAAGTTAAGTTTATTCTTTGATAATCAGTAGCACATAAATTCCTTGCCCTTTTTTCTGTGATGCAAAAAGTTTTTTCTTCATCTGTTTATCTTCCGCTGATCTATATACAGAGTTCTATATGCAAAGAGTCTATAGAGATTTCAGGGAATAAGCGCGAACTAGGTTCCCCACAATGTTTTTACTACATTTACAATAACGTCTGTCTGCCTCTTTGTCCGTATGTCTATGTGTATTTCGTAGAGGAAAATTTTTAAATCAAACTTCCAAATATTTCAGTTTTCCGTATTTAAACTTTCTGCAATCATATAAGGAATTGATTAGATTTTAAGTAAAATTGGACAAACTTAAGTGGTGCTTTGCTTGAAGCTCATAACTGTTTTTAATGAAAGAATATATTAAAATATAATCCAAAACTTCTAAAAATTCTTAAATAGTAATATTAGAAAATATTACTATTTAAGAATTTTTATACATCGGGAAGACATACTAGATTCTGCCCAAAATAGATAAATCAGAAGTGATACTTTACTTGAAGTTTTAAAAGGTTTTCGTAAAAAAATATATTACAATATAATCCAAAATTTCTCCAATTTGATATTTAAAAATCGTATATGTATATGCAATTTACATACAATCATGACTGAGAAGAATTTTAGATTTAGAACATATATAATAAACTGGAAATTGTATTCATGAATAATAAGCGGCTCATCAGCAGTGGTGTGAATAAGAATATTGAACGTTGGGAATTTGATGCGGATTCAAATATCATCGAACAGGCTGGCTGCATGGAAGTTTTCGCAGTTTTTTACAAATGCAACATGAGTACGAGGCAGTTTCAGACAGAAAATACTCCATTAAGGTCTCTTCCCTTAGGCAGGTAACTTAGTGCGCTTCACCATAATATAATAAATCCAAACCCTTGAGAATAAGACTGGGATCAGCAAAACGTTTACTTGAGAATAAATGTAGGTCTAATTTGTAACTTTGAAATTTCGCAAGTCATCATCTGAGAGACCAAACTGGGCTATAATTCAACTATTTGTTGAGATAAGATGAAACGGAGTTAGCTTTTGCATAATCTTCTTACTCACTCACATTTTCATTCAATATGTATTAATAATCATGCTAAGGAAGTGTAAAAGTGAAGATTTGGAAGAGAATTGCATTAAAGGCATGTGATAACACCAATTTATTGCAAATTCGTGATTCTACACATATCATCATACAGAAGAGACACCACATTAAAAGCTGATAAAAATAATTTTTTCCAATGTAAACAAAAACCAAACTGGTATAAAACTCAACCGATCTTTCCAGAAGATATGAAGTTCGAATCCGAGGAAGGGAACATCTAAAACTTCAAGTTTTCCTGATATTACAGTTACATTGCTCAAAAATTGGTCTAAATTTATGTGCATGCGAAAGTGAGATAAAACAAGTAGTTCTAATGGGAGGAATTTATCATTGGACACCACATGACTTCCTTGTACGGCCTATTAAATTATATACATTTCCACTGCACTTCATTTAAGCTTATTCCCTCCAATTATTAGAGATATATTTCTCATTCAATCATTTAAGTCCTCACTTTGCGGCGAAGCAAAAATTCTCAAAAACATCTTCATTAAAAATCGAAAAATTCGAAAAAACATAAAACACAAATGCAGTTAAAAAAATATTTTACGACTAAAATTAGAATTTGCTCTCAAAATCAAGCAATTAGGCTAACATACATTTAGGTAAAACTTCTGGTGCACAAAATTGAAAGTTTACTTTTGGTCCCACTCGTCTAAACGACACTTAAGTTGGTGCACCAACTGACTTAATTCACTGTTCCAATAAGAGTTTCAAATGTAAACAAATGGCAGCCTCATTAGACCCAGCGCCACTTTTAAAATGTTTGATAATTCTATAAATATTGCATACAGATTAACTAAAGGCATAAAAACCTTAACCGGGACATAAGAACAACATATTCAATCACTTTAAAGAAAAAAAAAATTAACAATTTACCATTAAGAAAAACGCAGAGCTCACAGACAGAGCCGTTAAGAAAGTGGGTATATGTAATATATATATATACACGCTTGGTGAGGCCTATTGCAACAAAAAAGGGAGATGCCCAACTATATATTATAGCAGTTTCATATGCAAAATTTCAGCGTTCTATAGGTAATCGTTTTTGAGTTACATGCATCACCAAAAAATCGCTTCTGAATCCATTTTACAATCCATTTTGGAAGTACCTGACCGTGCGTTTAGATGGCAGGCGAAAAAAGCGTCTAAATGAATTCGAGAATGGTTAAAATGAGTTTATTCGTTGAAATATGACACTCGAAATTTTTACGATTACAATATTTCTTTTACTTCGTACAAGGAAGTAAAAAACATACCTGTTAAAATTATTTGCATTATTTTTCGTTTTGTTAATTTCATTTTTAATTTACTTCATAAAAATGAAGCAATTAACTTTGTGTCTTTTTAATCAAATGCAGGATTAAAACACTCAATGTGAGAAAAAGGTTTACTTCATTGTTCAGTTTTTAAGCTAATTTCAGGTACCGATTTTGTACAGAATTTTCAGCTGTAGGCTTTGTTCAACTGAATCTTTGGGATGAGGAGTCCATGCTTTGAAACTGTTTCCGCAATGTGAACAATAGGAAATCTCATATCTAGTCGTCGTGTCGCATCTGAATGACACGCATATATCTGAATCGTTTGAAATACAGTAACAGTTCATTTAACAAATATTTACCATAACATGGCTCCTTTGAATTTGTTTTCTTCATGTTTAGAAAGTGAACTAACAATCTGTTCCAAAATATATGTTTTTATGCAATTATCCGATTATAAAAATCAATGCAATTTAGACTAAATTTCAGCTGGTATATTTATGCGACATTGCTTAATACAGGGATTCCTAATCTTTCTTTTGCAGTAACCACGTTTTTAAAGGAATGGTTTTCTTCAACGAACCCCTTACATTTTTTTTTTCCTATAGCCTACAGTATGAAACATAATCATAATACAAATAATTTCAACTGAATAACCTGAAGATAACGGTTCTATTAAGAATAGAAAACAAATTTTTGAAAAAAAAAATTTTTTTTCCTAATTGTATTTTTTTAGGGGGGGGGTTATGTGTTTTACTTTCTTATCCTGCACTAAAATTCATCTAAAAGTTATCTACTTAAAAAAATACAGACTTAAAAATATAATAAATAATTTTTGCGTACTTTTTACTTATTTTATGATTTTTCTTTATTCTTCTTTTTATGATTTTTATGATTTTATGATTTCAATCTCTCTTACTTCCAAATATCCTAATGTCTCTACAGTGTGCGCTCGAACTAAAAGGGTAGTGGATGATGATTCTCCGCACCCAGGATTTGGCGACTAGGTTCCCTAAAACCCTAGTCACCCTTTAAAAAGGGGAGTATATAAGGTATTTCTCCCACTTCCCTAGCGTGCCTACGTGGTGTAACGGTAGCACGCTGGGCCGGTACGCCAGGGGTCCGCGATTCGATTCCCGGCGAAGGCGGTTGCTAATTTTTCAATCTCTCTTGCTTCCAAATATCTAATGTCTCTACAAGTTAATTATTAATTATATTAATACATCTTTTATAAGTAATGGAACCTTCATTATGTCGATCAATTGCAGCTGCATATTCGGCTATCGACCCCCAGACGACCCCTAAAAGTTCCCACTGGGGTTTATCTGAGCTAACGGGGACAACTAACGTAGCCGACCCATCTCCACAACTTTTTTCCCCATAGGGCAGCAAGTTGAAAAATCTGAAGTGCAGGTATAGCGGAGCTAGTCGACACATGGAACTGACTCCGTTAGCTCAGATAAACCCACTGGGAACGGCCCTGCGCCAAAAAATATG